TGTCCAATATCAAGCTTTCGATTTATCTTTAAGAATGGTCTTGCTGTGGGTGAGCATAGGCAGTGGTTGTGGCGCTCTTCTAATACGGTCAGTTCGTAGTAACCCTCCTTCTGTAGCCGAATTCCACATTTTGCCTTACACCCCACTCGGTTTGACACACGTCGCCGTGTTTGTTTTTTGCCTCTGTTGTCATTATTTGTGTCTTTGTTCCCTTCAGTTTGTGTGGTTGGGTATCCTTCTCGTGAGCATAGCAAATACTTCGATTCAATTTGTCCGTGTCTATTCCTTTTCGCCGAGGTGCATCTAACATCGAAACCTACCTCTTGTGCGTACTTTTTGTAAAACTTAACGGCTTGCTCTACGTCCTCAAAACGTTGACCACGGTAAGGCTTTAATGACTCTTCACATTCTGGGATGGTTTCTTCTGTTATTCCAAGATATGTTCCGTGATCGGGCTGTGTTCCCTCATCCGCTGCAATTTCTGTTGCAGTTTACAATGTCAGTGGGATTATTTCGCTATGTATGTTGGAAGTCAGGGGAACACGACATTTGACTAGAGTGCACAGTAAATAAGTAATTATGGCACACAGAATGCAGAGAAATGTAACTGATCAGCATTCAACGAATCTATGCTCTATTTCATTCCACAGAACCCCACCACCCCGCCATGGATCGCTGAATCATATTATCATGGACACGTCTTACCATTACCCTAGTTCCAGGCATTACTCTACTTTCATTATACCATAATAGTTTTTATTCTTGTTTAAATTCGTGGAGGCCTTACCGTCGATCGTGTCGTCCTCATTACCTCTACGGTCTTCCTCATCAATTGCTACCTCCGGGAATACGTAGTCGTCGTGGTTTGTGGATGTTCCCTTACTACTTGTTTCACCGGCGTCCATGGCTGCGCGTAGAGCAGTTCTCCCTTCTCGCCCTTTTCTGGTCTCTCGCCAGTTGAGGGTGGCAGATTGTATGTAGTGTTTGATTCCCTTCCGTGTTCGAATTCTTGCTGCTGTCATATTTCACGTGGATGAATCCTTGTGTAACTAAGCATGTTGTCAAATCTCTTATTTGTCCTTTCTAATTATTTTGGGCGTTAATAACATTTGTATATGGGCATCATCTTAGCCATTAAATCTCTTGGATTGGATGGACATGATTTGTCCTCACAGTCCTCTATATATTGTAGTCCTCATGTGAACGCGACCCTATATATATATATATATATATATATATATATATATATATATATATATATATATATATATATATATATATATATATATATATATATATATATATATATAGAGGTTTAAGTTCCAGTGCGGGTGAATGTTTTCCGTGCGATTCTGCGGGTGATTAATGTGCATGAGTTTTATACTTAATGTGAGTGAGTCTTATGCTTAAGGTGCGTTAGGTTTGTGCTTAATGTGCGTGAGTTTTATACTTAAGGTGTGTGAGTCTTGTGCCTAAGGTGTTTGAGTTGTGTGTTTAATGTGCGTGAGTGTGTACTTAATGTGAGTTGTTGTATGTTGAAATTTTAACGTGCATGAGTTTTGTGCGTAATGTGCGTGAGTTTTGTGCTTAGGGTGCGTGGGTCTTGTACTTAACATGCGTGAGTTTCGTGCTTAAAGTGCGTGAGTTTATGCTTAATGTGAGTAGTTGTTGAAACTTAAAAGGTTCCTGAGCTCTGTGCAATGTGCGTGAGGCTTGTGCTTAACATGCGTGAGGCTTGTGCTTAACGTGCGTGGGGTTGTGTTCTTGAGGTGTTGTGTTTGTGTGTTTAATGTGCGTGTGTTTGTACTTTAAGTGCGTCAGATTAATGCTTAACGTGCGTCTACCCGCACAACTGCACGGAAAGACTCACCCGCACTTGATCCCTTCCCTATATATATATATATATATATATATATATATATATATATATATATAAATTGTGGGACCTGAATATGATGAATCACAATGTACAGACATAGTAGAGTCTATATATATATATATATATATATATATATATATATATATATATATATAAATTGTGGGACCTGAATATGATGAATCACAATGTACAGACATAGAAGAGTCTATACTTTGAGATGATGGATCAGAGTGTACACAAACACAAGAGTTTATAGCTTCAAGCTAATGTATGGATGCAAGCTAGAATTGATCGAATCACAAAAATGGCAGTAATTAGATGGTCTGATCAGCTTACTTAATTAATTTAAAAAATTCGTAATTTCTCCCTCATCTCATCTATAATACCAAGTCTGGATGCATGGTGCACATGTAAGTATATCATTAATTTCTCCCAAATAATGCCAACCACTTTTTATATTTAATTTATTATTAATTTGATTTCTTGAACATTTCTTTGACCTGTAAAATTCTGTCTCCACTGATGCTGCACATGAAAGCATTAATATTGTCACTGTCCGAAGGAAAAAACATAATCAATTGATGAGTTGACTTTTGATGATTTATAAAAAAAAAATCAATTAATATTATCCACCATCAACATTAACAGTTAGAGAGATTGCCAGATGAGTAGCTAAATTTCTAACCATTAGTGATTAAAATTTAAAAATAAAAAATAATTATGGCTGTTAGAAAAATTTAAGTCAACCAGTATCATCGTCCCAAGTAAGAATGGATGTTTATGCCGATTTTGGCCTCCTCCACTTCATTAGTTCCATTCTTCATTATCCATAGGAAAAATTGTTTTAAAAAAAAAAAAAAAAATTGTTCGATATCATAGTACACAAAAAATTAGGTTTTTTTTTTGTGTGTGTGTGTGTGTGTGTGTCATAAGGGTTCAAAATTTTCCAACTACCCGTGATGAGTGATTGAAAGTTTTCATCTACTACTTAATACAATTATAACAATTCTAGACTCATGGTCATGGTCACCCTCCCGATTGAAAGGTTGACCATGACCAAGATGATTAGCTACGGCTTTCCAGCCATCTTGGCCACGGTCATGGCCAGGGTTGTGGTTGTGACTTGCGAGGCAAACTTGTAGATCCTTGAGGTCTCGTTGTCGTGACCAGCAGCGGGATCCCAAAGATCCGCAAGCTGGATTAGCACATCTAGCTAGTCATCCCGATCTAGAAGAGTAGTAGGAAGTACATCGAGATCCAGCTTGCGGGTTCCTAGCCTCTCGTTGCTTAATTATCTCGGTCGAGATGAGCAGTGGGAGCCCAGGGATCCGCAAGCTAGGCTTGTAGGTCACTGTCATAGTCACGATAGTGATTGTGACCTGGACCTCCTCTTTGACTTCCAACTCGCTCCACTCTTTCCTATGCACTCTCGTGCCTTCGTTGTGCACCTCCTTGACTCGTTTTCTCTTGCAATTGGCTTCCTTTCTTGCTCGTTCATGCCCTTGCCCAATATTCCTTGCCTACAATCACTACAAACACTTCCATTAGAAGTTATTCTCACTACGTACAATCACCTTAAAATCCATGCAAAATTAGAATAAATGAAGCACACTTATAAGCCAAATTATGGTTTATTAGTTATTATGTCTTGGGGATACAATAAGTATTTACAAGAGCTTATTAATAGAAGTCTTATTTTAATTGACACTCCGAGGTTCTGATGAAAAAATTAAACTTAATGCATGGTGCGTTGCATAGTTTTTGGGTAAGAGAAGGTAAAAAAGAGAGCATTTTTTGGGCAGAAAATACTTGGTAACATCCACCGAGGTCACTTAAAATATTTACAAATTCATGTTGTTGATTAAGTTTATACACACATAGTTTTGACTATTATGCATTCAGAACAAACAACCTTGGCTTCATTTTCTTCTTCCATGAAGATGTTGAAGTATGTGTTTATTCCATCTTCATTTCTTCAAAGAGTGCCAACACACTTACATGATTATTTAGTTTTTTTAAGGCCACGTATAGTAAGTAGAGTTGTCCTATAACCTTATCATGTATTTTGATAACCGTAATATTATGGTGGTGGGAGTCCAGTAGGGATGGCAATGGGCGGGTTGGGTGCGGGGGATATATCCCCCGCACCCGCACCCGCATTCCCAACTCACACCCGACACCCGCACCCGCACCCGCACCCGCGCGGGTAATAAAATTCCTACCCCATACACGCCCCCGCAGGGATTTTGCGGGTGCGGGTAATACCACTCACAACTCTAATTATTAGTATTACACTTAAATCTAATAAAAATTTTATACTACAATTCTAATTATGACAGATTTTTTTATAAGTTTGAACATAACTCTAAAATTTAATAAGAGCCAATGAAGTTAATAATTAATTGGAACTAAAATTGTGTTGGTAGTATAAATTGTATTAAATGTTTACTCATTATGTTATTTGTGTTGTTCATAATTTCCTATTCAAATTTCATTAACAAAAAACTAAAAAGTTTAATTCATTATTCATTTTTAATTATAAAATATACATAAACTTATATAATAAATAAATACTAATAACAATATATATAAGTGCGGGTGCGGGTGCGGAGCGGGATACCTCTCCCCGCACTCGCCCCATACCCGTGCGGGTATACAAAATTCCCCCATACTCGCACCCATTACCCAAATTGTGCCAGTATTTTAAAGCCCTAGGGGCGGGGATGCGGGAAACCCATTGGGTGCCAGTAGAATTGACATCCCTAGAGTCCAGTGATGGTGATTAATATTATGCAAGCTAGCTAGGTGGTGAACATTGATATTGGTGCCCTGGACGGTGATTATATATTACGTAGTAATTTAAAAGTTGTTGGCATTATTGATTTATTTATACTTTAATGTGCACCATTGGTGGATCGGAGACAGTTTCACAGATGAGAGAGAAATTAAAACAATTTTTTAACAAGTTAAGCAGATCAGACCACCTTCATCTTCTTTTTATATGCAATGTTTGAAGGGTTGTAGCCACACCCACTCATTCATTGACAGAACTAAACGAGAGAGAGAGAGAAAAAAAGTTGTTATATCTGAATAATTTGAATTGAAAGAGAGATCTATCGAGATGGCTTGTGTTGCTTTGGCCTCTCTGATGGCAACAATTAAGCTTGAGTTTCTACAACCAAATAATCCAAGCAGGGTTCCTCTTGATGATGAAGGGCCCGGGTTTATATCAATGGAATCTTTGTATGAAAAGCTTTCATCTTTGCAAGCTTTTGTGCAGGAGAAATCTGGGGCAAGGGGTGGCACTGCAATCAGAGATTTGGAGATGAAGATCAGAGACTTTGCACTGGATGCTGAAGACCGCATCGAAATGCAACTAAGCAACTTTCTTCTGGCCAAAAACGGAGAGGACCAACAAAAAGCTTATTATCAGCAGCAACTCCATCAAACCTTGGGAGAAGTTGCAGAAAACGCAGCGGAGTTGCTGGAAAAAAGCAAGGAAACTGATGATAAACAAGTGGTGAATGAAAGTGAAGGACCACTGATTCCTTGGTTAGAACTAGGGATGTCAAATGGGCCAACCCGTTGGGTTTTGGACTAGCCCTACAGGGTTGGTGGACTTGTTGGCTTGGGCTAAAATGGTTTTTTATTTTTTCTTTTTGAGTTGGGTTGGCCCTAACCCTAAACAACGGGTTGTTGGTTAATCCAACGGGCTAAATCACTAAACAAATTTTTTATTACAAATAGAGTAGGTTCATAACTATATATATATATATATATATATATATACACTACACGCACTATATATATATATATATATACACACACTACACACACACAATATATATATATATATATATATATATATATATATATATATATATATATATATACACTACACACAGTGTGTGTTTATATGGAGTATATATATATAGTGTGTTTATATATACTACACACGCAGTGTGTGTGTACTGTGTGCGTAGTATATATATATATATATATAGAGTGTGTGTGTGTGTACAGTGTGTGTGTATATATATATAGTGCGTGTGTAGTGTGTGTGTGTATATATATAGAGTGTGTACAGTGTGTGTGTATATATATATAGTGCGTGTGTAGTGTGTGTGTGTGTGTATATACATATACATATATATATATATATATATATATATAGTGTGTGTGTGTGTGTGTACAGTGTGTATATATATATATATATAGTGTGTGTAGTATATATATTGTGTGTACAGTGTGTGTGTGTATATATAGTGTGTGTGTGGTATATATATTGTGTGTACAGTGTGTGTGTGTACAGTGTGTATATATATATATATATAGTGTGTGTGTGTGTAGTATATATATATATAGTGTGTGTGTGTGTGTACAGTTTGTGTGTAGTGTACATATAATGTGTGTAGTGTATAAAAGTACATTATTTCATATATATACTATCAAATAATGTACCTTCAATATACAAATAATGTACAATTAATATATTAAAAATGTACCTTATATTCATGGTACACACAAGTTGTATAGACTATGGTCCATCCAATAATCATTGAATATTACACGGGCCAGCTCAACAATCCATGAGTTGGCCCAACTCAATCCAATAACCCAACAGGGCCAACCCAATGAGCTTACTTTCTTATTGGATTGATCTTTCTGGATTTTAGCCCTGCAATTTTTAGGGCTTAATGGGCTAGCCCATTGGTTCAGGGCTAAATTGACATCCCTAGTTAGAACATGCATCCATTTCGGAGCCCAGCAATTTTATGGTCGGTCGTCGCCGTGATCATGTGCAGATAATGGACAAACTCATCAGGGGCTCTGAGAAACTAGAAGTGGTCACAATTGTTGGGATGGCCGGCATTGGGAAAACAACTTTAATTAGTAGTGTCTATAATGATCCATCAGTTGCATCGCATTTCGATGTACGAGGTTGGGTTTCTATGCCTGGGGCTGCAGGGGGATACAACCGGATCCAAATGCTACACACCCTTCTTTGGACATTACTAGCAGGGACAGAAGAAATAAAAAAGGGAAGGATTCCTGATCGTGTAGTACCTGTGAGGCTACGCAAACGCTTGCAAGGTAAGAAATATCTAATTGTTTTAGATAACTTATGGAACAATCAAGCTTGGCATGATATAAGAAGATGTCTTCCTGCTAAGAGTTATAATTTTAAAAGAAGTCGCATAGTGATAACCACTACGCATTTCAGATCTGATTATACTAACTCAAGTAGAAATATTCATAACATGACTTTGCTAAATCCAGAAGAAAGTTGGACTTTGTTTTGCAATAACCCTTTTCTCAAACTGGAGAAACATAAGGCACCACCTATATTTCAAAAAATTAGGAGCCAAGTTGTAGAGATATGCGATGGATTGCCATACACAATTCTTGTAATTGCAAAACGTCTATCTAAGTGTGACAACATAAGACAAGAATGGAATAAGGTTGAAAAGGAAATAGAGTTGCTTGGAGTTCTAGATAGGAGGGCACTGACTCACACTTACAATCAATTGTCACAACACTTAAAAGTTTGTTTTCTATATTTTGGAGTCTTCCCAAAACGCAGTGCAATCAGAGTCAAACAACTTATTAGACTATGGACTGTCGAGGGATTTGTGAATCCATTGGAGCACGAGGGGTTAGAAAATCAAGCTTATGAGTATTTACAAGAGCTTATTGATAGAAGTCTTATTTTAATCGAAACTCGGAGTTCTTTTGGAAAAATTCAGAATTGTAGGATGCATAGTGCCTTGCATAGCTTTTGTGTCAGAGAAGCTCAGAAAGAGGGCATTTTTTGTGCTTTAAATACTCTACAACTTCCACGAGGGTCATTTGACATGTTTGCAAATTCATGTCGCTGGCTAAGCTTATACACGCATAAATTTGACTATTATGTGTTGTTAAGAACAAACAACCCTCGCTCCATTTTCTTCTTTCAAGAAGATAATACCGATGAAATATATGTATCTTTCAAGTTGCTAAGAGTTTTGGCTTTTGTTCCATCTTCATTTCTTCAAAGAGTGCCAGCACGCTTACATGAATTAGTTTTCTTGAGATACCTATCTGTTACAGAATGGTTTGAGGGCCTTGATTATGTAGTGTCAACCAATCGAAACTTGCAGACACTTGTTGTTTCTGGTAAAGAATCCCAATTTGGAGCACCTACTCTCCACTTGCCTTGTACAATTTGGGAGTTACCGCAGTTACGACATCTTGAGCTTGACAAATCTTATGTGATTGATCCTCCAAGCATGGTTAAAGATAATATGCGAACATTATCTTGGGTGTGTTCAACTCATTGTAGAGAAGGAGTATATTACAGGTTTCCAAACATTGAAAAATTGAAAGTTTTTGTATTTAGCAGCAATAATCTTATTTTTTTGGATAATCTTGAATATTTGGAACGACTTGAGAGGCTATCAATTTCAGTACGGTTTGGTTGTGTTGTAACTCTTCCAAAGCCACCTATGTTTCCTTCACACCTAAAGAAGTTGAGGTTGAATGGTACAAACCTTTCAGAGAGGGATTTAAAGACAATTGAAATGTTGCCTCAGCTTGAGGTTCTCAAATTGGAAAATGCCTTTCATGGAAAAGTATGGGAAGTAGAAGGATTTTTTCAATTAAAATTCTTGCTTCTTGAAAATAAAATGCTGGAGCAATGGATGGTGGGTGATGTATCCTTCCCACGTCTTGAGCACTTAGTCTTAAGGTTTTGTTATTGTTTAGAAAAAATCCCTGAGGATATAGGAAGCATTTTCTTGAAGTCAATTGAGTTGCAGCGGTGTTGTCCGTCCGTTGTCACTTCTGCAAAGCGTATTCCAGAATATCAACGCGATGAGTATGGAATCGAATTTGTTGAGGTGAGAAGCTAGCTAGCTAGTACAGTACAACATGATTCATTCTTACATTTCCATTTATTTTTCTATTCATTATAAGTTATAACGCTAATTTTCATTACAAAATCGATTGCAATTTTCTCCATCTGATCGATCTCATCTCATTTTGCATTATCTTTTTCATATAGATCAAAATCAATGGAGAAGAGTCTATACCTTAAGATGATGAATAACAAGCTAAGCTAAGGTATGGATGCTAGAATTGAATGACAAAATTTGGTTGCCAACTATATATATATTCTTAATTTTTTGCATCCTCAATCTTTATGTTATCTGTCCTTTCTCATTATATTGCATATATGTTTTTATTACTTTGTAGTCCCCTGGCCTGTTTTCTGTATGTAATCTTCTATTTAAACAAATTTTAAATTGTATGAAGATCGAAGATTATAGCTTTTGATTATCAATTGAAATCTTGAATTTTATGTTATGTTCAATCTCTCTGTCTTTCTGTTCAATAACCGTCTTTCGTAGCATTTTCTTTTTAACACACTTCAAGTCAATATGTAGATTGAATCTTAAGGGACTTGTTACACAAACAATTGCACAGGACATACGATCACAGTCAGAGAAAAAATCAGAGGAATATCAACTAGTAGATCAGCAAGATGATGGAGCAGAATTAATAAGGAAAGGAAATAATTTGAGGAGGTCATTACGGAATAAGAAGACAATTCAACACCAAGATTATGCCTATTATTAGTCTTTTATTTATTTTTTGCCTTTTATTAATTTATTACCATTGCTATAATTATGGTCTTAGGAAGCTATTTAAGATTGGTCTTTGTACTGCAAAAGGATAGCGGAATAACAGAGTTCTTTTTTTCCTTCCTTCTCGTTTTCTTATCGGAGTTACCGTAACTCGAATACAGTGTGGAACTTGAAACTTGTTCGAAAAGTTTCTTTGCTTGCGTACTAAAAATCCAGTATGTAACATGACTGGACAGAGATGACTGGACCGTACCGTTTGAGGCTCCTATTAAAAGTACATGAAAAAGCATTAACAAGCTCAACTTAGGAGGCATATTTAACATTTTTTCTAATAATAATAATACCATATCTAGGGGTGTTAGCGAACAGAGCTTTCGGCAAACTACTCGTGTTCGTGTTCGGTAAGCGTTCGTTTGTTAAGGTAAATGAACATTAACAAACAAAATTTAGAGCTCGGTTAATGAACGAACAGAGCTTGAACAGTTTTAAACTCGTTTGCTAAGAGATCGTGAACAAGCTCGTTTGTGTTCGTTTACTAATGTTCGTGAACAAGCTCGTTTATGTTTGTTTAATAATGTTCGTGAACAAGCTCGTTTGTGTTCGTTTAATAATGTTCGCGAACATGTTCACAAACATATATATTATATTATATTATATTATATTAGTTTTGTAGTTGTGTTGTTTGTTTGATTATTGTTCGTGAACGTAGATTATTTATTGTTCACGAACGAATTGTGATCATGAACATGTGCATGTGTTTGTTTATTAAGTGTTCATGAACGTAAATGAATATGTTCGTGAACGTGCTTGTTAATGAACATGTTTGTTAACGTTAACGAACACGTATGCGAACGTGTTCACGAACACGTTCGCGAACATGTTCGTTAACGTTAACGAACACGTTCGTGAACATGTTCGCGAACGTTAACGAACACTAACAAACGCTTAACAAACGAACACGAACAAGATTTTCAAAAACCTTAACAAACGAACACAAACACAAACACTCCAAATTCCTTAACAAACGAACACGAACAACCCCCGTTCGTTTATGTTCGGCTCGTTAACAGCCCTAACCATATCTCTCACTTACATGTCGTATTTACCCCTCCATCTGTTACATTTTGCTTATCATGTTTATTTTTCATTGGTTAAACTAACTCTTTCTTCATTACTTATTTTCTTTAGTAATTTGTAATTATTTTTAAGTTTAATTTTTTGTGTTTAATAGTACTTTAATATAGTTTTTAAATATATAAATTTAATATACTAATTTTAAACTTAATATTACGAAAAATGAAATTAAAAGTAACTTCAGCCAATCCTCGTTATCGAACCAAACAAATAAAATGGGATGGGCGTAAGAGAAGCTCAGAAATAGGGCATTTTTTGTGCTTTAAATACTCTGCTACTTCCACGAGGGTCATTTGGCATGTTTGCATAGCCAAAGCATGTTTTATCCAAGGAATCTGTTGAGATTAATAAGAACAAGAAAAATAATAATGGCAGTAAAGGATAAAGAAGACAAGATTTACGTGGTTCGGCAATGTGCCTACATCCACGGGAGTGAAAGTATTCTCTTATTATTTGTGATGGTGTACAAGGTGATGAGATACATTGATTATATTTATAGGCATATAATCTCCCTTTCACTCCTATTCCTTATATGAGACAAACTCATATTCCTAATCCTTATATGAGACAAACACAACAAATCTCCACCTTGGCGAATATGCTCTCTAGGAGAAAAAGATAACTCAACAAATCTCCACCTTGGCGAATAAGCCCTTTAGGAGAAAATACTTATCTAACCATCTCCACCTTCGCAAATAAGCCCTTTAGGAGAAAAAAACTCATCTCATAGTCTCCCTGGATTAGGACCACCATGTTCATTTAACATCTGGAAACACCCGACAAGTCCAAACAATGTTTGAACTTGTCACTAGTAACTGCCTTTGTCAACATGTCTGCTGCATTCTCACTTGTATGAATTTTCTGCAACAAAATCTCACCAGAAGCAATCAACTCTCTGACCTTATGAAACCTTACATCAATATGTTTGGTTCTGGCATGGTATACTTGATTTTTAGCTAAGAAAATGGCACTTTGATTGTCACAGTGTAATTGAACTCCATCTTGCTCAATACCCAACTCCTTAATCAAACCTGAAAGCCACAAAGCCTCTTTAGCTGCCTCAGTCACAGCCATGTATTCTGCTTCAGTTGTAGACAAAGCTACAATAGACTGAACTGATGATCTCCAGCAAATAGGACCACCCCCAAGAGTAAAAACATACCCTGTTGTAGAACGTCTATTATCCATGTCACCAGCATAATCAGAATCCACATATCCCATGAGTACATGCTCATTCTGTTGACTTCCAAATACAATACCATGCTCCATAGTGCCCCTTAAGTACCGGAGAATCCATTTAACTGCTTCCCAATGCTGCTTCCCAGGTTTAGACATGTACTTACTAACTTGGCTAACAGCATGAGCCAAATCAGGTCGAGTACAAACCATTGCATACATTAAACAGCCAACTGCACTAGCATAAGGAACCTTTGCCATATTTTCAATCTCACTAACTGTTTGGGGACACTGACTGGATGAGAGTTTAAAATGATTAGCCAAAGGGGTACTAACCGGTTTAGACTTACTCATCCCAAACCTGTCAAGAATTTTCTCTATATAACTCTGTTGAGTTAGCCACAACTTTCTTGCACCTCTATCCCTGTGAATTTCCATGCCAAGAATTTTCTGTGCAACTCCTAAGTCTTTCATATCAAATTCCTGACCCAACAACACTTTCAATGCAGTAATATCATTCATACTCTTAGCAGCAATCAACATATCATCCACATACAGTAACAGAAAAGTAAAAGAACCATCACCAAGGCTTTTAACATAGACACAACAATCATACTCACAACGAGTATAGCCAATTTGAATCATGTAAGCATCGAACCGCTTGTACCACTGCCGTGGAGCCTGTTTCAGCCCATACAAAGACCTCTTGAGTCGACAAACCAGATGCTCACCTCCGGTTTTAACAAACCCTTCAGGTTGCTTCATGTAAATTTGCTCATCTAGATCACCATGTAGAAAAGCAGTTTTCACATCCATTTGTTCCAAATGCAAATCCCAAATGGCTACCAAAGCAAGTACTAATCTGATAGAAGTATGTCTAACAACAGGAGAGAAAACCTCATCATAATCTATCCCCTTCTGTTGAGAAAACCCCTTCGCAACTAACCTAGCCTTAAACCTTTCCCCTTCTTTTTCTGATACTGGTGGCTTCTTTCTATAGACCCACTTGCACCCTATAGCCTTCTTTCCTTGAGGAAGTTGAGCTAACTCCCAAGTATGATTATGATGTAAAGACTCCATCTCCTCAATCATACCTGCCATCCATTTATCTTTCTCCTGGCTAGAAATAGCATCTTGAAAGGTAACTGGATCATTATTAGAAACAAGAAGTGCAAAAGAAACCATATCCTCAAACCCATACCTACTAGGTGGTTTGACATTGGTGCGTCTCGGTATATCTCTAGCCAAACTGTAATCTTGTAAATTTTCTGAACCCGAACCTGCTGCAGATGTAGAATCTGCAACTTCTTGAGTCTCAACCGTAGGTGGATTAACTACTTTCTCACTCAAAGGTACACGATCCATATCCACTTCTACTGTGCTAGAACCATCAACTAGTGTATCTTCTTTCTTTGACTGGAACATGAAATTCTCATCAAACACTGCATCTCTGCTAATCACCACCTTTTTGGTTGCAGGATCCCAAAACTTATATCCTTTTACACCTTTCTTATAACCCAAAAAGATGCACTTCTTCGACTTGGGATCTAACTTTGATCTCTCATCACCTGGAATAAGAACATAGCTAGGACAACCAAAAACTCGTAAGTGATCAAAACTTACAGGATTACCTAAGCAAACCTCCTCAGGAACCTTGCCACCAAGTGATGTCCGTGGTGATCTATTGATCAAGTAACATGCCATGTTCACTGCTTCTGCCCAAAAACACTTAGAGAGCCCAGCATTCAATCTGAGACACCTTGCTCTCTCAGCAATGGTTCTATTCAGCCGCTCAGCAACACCATTCTGTTGTGGTGTCTTACGCACTGTATAGTGCCTTTGAATTCCATGTTCTGCACAGAATTTCTGAAATTCTTTCTCAGTATATTCTGTCCCGTTGTCAGACCTCAGGTACTTGATTTTTCTTCCAGTCTGGTTCTCAACCTCGGCTTTCCACAACTTAAATTTCTCAAACACTTCAGATTTATGTTTCAAGAAATACACCCAGACTTTCCTAGAAAAATCGTCAGTAAATGTAACATAATATCGAGAGCCACCCATTGAAGGTTCCCTGGTAGGTCCCCAAACATCAGAATGCACATAATCCAGAATCCCTTTAGTTTTATGCTGCCCAGTAGAAAAACTGACTCTAGTCTGTTTCCCAAGGACACAGAACTCACAGAAATCTAGCTTACAACATTTAACTCCTTTTAACAAATTCCTTTTGTGCAAATCAAACAGACCACGTTCACCAAGGTGACCCAAACGTAAATGCCACAACCTAGTAGTATCATCACTAGACTCAACTGAATGTGCTCCACCTACAACAGTACTACCCAACAACCTATAAATGTTCCCTGTGGTCCTTTTCCCTTTCATCACAGTTAAAGCACCCTTACTAATTTTAATGGTTTCCTTATCACTCTCAGACTTATGAATAAAACCATTAGCATGCAAACTGCCAAGAGAAATCAGGTTCTTAGTTAATCCCGGTATATGTCTGACATCATGCAAAGTTCTGACAATACCATCATACATCTGGATGTTAACATCACCAATACCTATGATATTATGACATCTATCATCACCCAGAAAAACAGAACCGAAAGTACCTGACTTATAGGTTGTGAACCACTCCCTGTTAGGTGTAATATGATAAGAGCATCCTGAGTCTAGAATCCAAACATCTGACAACTTACTCGATGAAACTGCTAGAACATCACCTTCACTATAATCTGAGTCATCAGCATGCACCACGTTCGCCGCCTCTTGTTGTTTTTTCAACTTTGGACAATCTCTCTTTATGTGCCCAATCTCATAACACTTGTAGCACCGGATTTTCCTGCTATTTCTGGACTTAGACCTAGAGTTTCTCCTCCCAGAATTACCCTTCTCTTGTTTCCTTCCACGATCCTGGCCCTCTTTGGCATACAAACTTTCACCAACAGACGATCCATCTCCTACACTCTGCAAGCGCTTATTATGAGCCTGCAGGGCCGCAGAGATCTCGCTGTATTTAACCGTGCTTTTCCCGTATGTTAGAGTAGTCACCAGATGTTCAAAGGAAAAAGGTAATGAACATAGCAAGATCATCGCCTTGTCTTCATCTTCAATCTTGACATCAAGCCTGGCCAGATCTGAGATTATCTGATTGAAGACATTAATATGATGCACCAAGTCTGAACCCTCCTGCATCTTAAGCCCATAAAGCCTTTGCTTTAGATACAGTTTGTTCGTTAGAGATTTTTCCATGAACTGAGTTTCCAATTTATCCCAAATTTCTTTTGGGGCTTCCAGGGCCATAACGTGATACACAATTCCATCGTCTAGGCATAACCGAATGGTTCCTGCCGCACGCTCCTTCAAATCTTCCCAATCATCCTCTTCCAGATTAGCTGGCTTATCCGCCTTCAAAGTTTTCAGAAGACCCTGTTGTGCCAACAAATCCTTTACCCTAGATTGCCATAACCCAAAATTCCCTGTACCATCAAATTTTGATACCTCGAATTTTGTGCTTGAACTGGTCATCTCAACAGTGCTCTGATACCAATTTGTTGAGATTAATAAGAACAAGAAAAATAATAATGGCAGTAAAGGATAAAGAAGACAAGATTTACGTGGTTCGGCAATGTGCCTACATCCACGGGAGTGAAAGTATTCTCTTATTATTTGTGATGGTGTACAAGGTGATGAGATACATTGATTATATTTATAAGCATATAATCTCCCTTTCACTCCTATTCCTTATATGAGACAAACTCATATTCCTAATCCTTATATGAGACAAACACAACAAATCTCCACCTTGGCGAATATGCTCTCTAGGAGAAAAAGATAACTCAACAGAATCAATTGTCGTTGACTTTCATCATCATCAGTGCTAGCTTCGTTGCTTATTTTCAGCAACTCTGCTGTGTTTTCTGCTGCTTCTCCCAAAGTTTGATTGAGTTGCTGAGATGCTTTTTGTTGATCCTCTCCGTTCTTGGCCAGAAGAAAGTTGCTTAGTTGTATTTCGATGTGATCTTCCGCTTCCAGTGCATAGTCTCTGATCTTGAGTTCCAAATCTCTGATTGCAGCAGCTCCGGATTTCTTCTGCAGAAAAGCTTGCAAAGATGAAAGGTTTTCAAACAAAGAATTGATTGATATGGATGCTTCATCATCAAGAGAAACCCTTGGATTATTGGGTTGTAGAAACTCCAACTTCATTGTTGCAATATGAGAGAAGTCAAAGCAACAGAAGCCATCTCTCTCTCTCTCTCTCTCTCAAATTATTCAGATGTCTCAAGTTTTCTGGATGAATGAGTGGATGTGCCAATCAATGAGCTGAGCGAATGTGGCAACAACCCTCCAAACATTGCATAATAAGATGATGATGATGATGGTCTGCTAGCTAGCTTATTACAAAATTCTTTTAATATCCATTGTTAATTTGATTCTGTGAATATGACCAAATTTTTTAAATTAACAAATATTTGGTATATCGTTGGCCACTTGCTCAAAGTGTTAATGTGCTTCAGACTAACTCCTTAGTATCTATGATTATTTGGAGCACCGCTACTTACTTGGTCAAAGTGGTGATTATAGTTTAGACTACCTTGCAATTGTTGGTGCATTGTTTGCAATAGCCTAGTCCAGTCGTGCTGGTGACCGATAAAGACCATAATTATATTCCTGCACCCACTGGTCACTTGCTCAAAAGTGGTGATGGTGATAGAGATCGTCCGGTTTGTACCAACAGTTACTTTGTGATGCATTGCTGGCCACTGGCTCATAGTGGTGTTGATGGTATAGACCATTACCCTTCTTGACTTGACATTTTTGCCTCATATCTTTGGTTTTGGCCTGTGTGAGGCATTTTTGGTTTATTTCACCTGGTGGTGTGGTTGGCCTTGTGTTGCTGACTATTTTATGATTGCAGCTTGGGCATGATCCTTTTCTTGTTATTCTATGTTATGTTTACCTTAAGCCTAGGGGTTTATACTTATTTTGGCTTAGTATTGGCAGTGCCGTGCTTACTTAGACACTCGTTACGTTGGTTTTAAATGCGCTTCTCTTGAGCTTGTAGCTAGACTACACCCCTTAACTTTGTACATACTTGTTTTTGGATTAATAAGCACTATATGTTCATAAACTCAAAGCGCAGTGTTCATAATAAATTAGACACACCAATGTTAACATTCGCTATTTTACATGTTCATAACATGCCTTATCCATGTTCAAAAACTAAAACCTATATGTTCATAAATTCAAAGCTTAATGTTTATAAATTTGTATGTTCAGAAATTTAAAGCTAATGTTTAGAAACACGTTGAGTGCGGTGAAATGTTGTTGTTTTATACCAAAGTCCACGGTATAACAACTGATTTCTCTGTGTACATTTGCTAGAATCAATGGTTATGCTGTGCAACCGTGTGCATCATGGTTACAAAAACGACGTCGTTTTGACTAAAAACGCGCCTCCCACTTAAATAAAAAATAATAATCAGTTTCGATTCCCCTCAACAGCATTATGTTGTTCATTCATTATGGATTTTTAGTTCATTCATTCTGGATATTTAGACGGAAATCGAAACTGATTTTTTTTTTTCATTCATGTTGGATATTTAGTTCATTCATTCTGGATATATAATTCAAATTATGCACACACAATGTTGTTGTCGGGAATCGAAATCGAAACCAAACGTTATTCACTGGAGCATTATCATATAGAGTTGAAGCACACTAAACGAATTTCACCTTTGCTTCTTAAGGGGCACTGCATATTCTGAAATGCTATCACTACTGTTGAGCCAACTTGGAAAGATAACTCCGATCCGATGAATTACTGTTTTCTTTTGCTAATACCTCGTTCTTCGCTCTCTTTTTGCAGAGGGTCGTGAACCGATTCTTCACAGCATTATCAGTTCACGAACAGACAAGCTTGGATTTAAAGCGTCGTTAAAAGCATCCAGTACTTTTCATTACCTGCCTGAAACCACATTTGCGATTTCTGTCCATCTGTTACCAAATATCCTCTGTGCCTGCAGACAATGCTTATTTATAAGATCACCAAAACGATAATAGATTGATATGGAAATTCCATGCCATCAGAATTCAGAAAGGTGACAATAGGGCATATCGATCATATGCAAGAGTGCAAGACCAAGAAAGCAAGAAAAACTAATGTACGAGAAACAAAAAAAAAAAAACTAGCACAAGTTCAAACATAAAACTAAATACACAACATAAGTCTAGCGCTAAACTTTGTTTTTCGGATGCTAACTCAAAATCTGGGGAGACAGTAACATGGAGTTCAAAAGATGATGCTTTTCAGTATCGATTTTTACCTCACATAAGAGCATATCTTCTTCAGGAGACCATCCCCCCCTTTTGATATCGGAGTTCAAATAAGTAAACCATCTGGAGAAACATTGTCACAACATCCATCCAAATGAGACTACACTCAACTTAATTTGGGAAAAATATGGAGAAACAAAAAAAAAAAACAAAACAAAAACAGAAGAATCAAACCATAGGTACATTCAACATATATTCACAACTCAAAAGGTACATTCGACAAATTTGATGAATAAGTCTCATTCTTATTCCATACAAAAATATTTGAAATATTTTCACAAGTAAACAAAAAGTGCATGATAACATATATTATTCAAAACTCAAAAGTGTACCATTATTTAAAAAAAAAAAAAAAAAAAAAAAAAAAAAAAAAAAAAAAAAAGTCATCTATCATCTTCAACTTGATCTTCCTTAGCTTGTAATTCACCATTGGACTGGATACTTTGAGATATTCCTCCCAGTAACTTCTATGCGTATGCGCACTATGATTCATCATATTCACATCCTTCAATTTTGATCTATTACAAAATAAGAAAATAAAATGGGATCGGAAAGTGAAATATAAATAATTCAGTACAAAATTAATTAGGGATGAATCATATATATATATATATGGAGTAGCTTCTAACCTTCAAATTACCGTTTCGGCTTAAGTACTTGGATTCTTGAATATCCTTGGCAGAAGCGACGACAGAACGGCCACATTGTTGCAACTCAATTGATTTCACGGTGCCAATATATGGAATCTCCATAGGGATATTCTTCAAATGATAACAAAATTTTAGAACTAAACGCTCAAGATATAGGAACGAATCCTATTGACTATCCACTGCTCAAGCTGTTTTGCTTCAAGGAGCAAGAATTTTAGCTGACGAAATCCTCCTTCATCTACTTTCCATATTTTCTCATGGAAAGCATTTTCTAACTTGAGGACCTCAAGTTGAGGCAACATTCCAATTAAAGCTAAATCCCTCTTGCAAAAATTAGTGCCATTCAGCCTCAACTTCTTAAATTGTAAAGGAAATATGGGTTGTTCTGGACGAGTAACAGCACAGCCTGCTGAAACTAAAATTGATAACGTCTCTAGCCTTACCAAATAGTCAAGATTATCCAGAATAATGGGATTGTTGCAAGATCTACCAGTCTCATGACTAGGTTCCAAGTCTTCTTTGCAGAAAATTTTTAATTTTTTAATGTTTGGAAATCTGTAATACACTTCCTTTCTGCAATGAGATGGATTCACCCAAGACAATGTTTGCATGTTATCTTTAACCACACTTGGAGGATCAATCACATACGAATTGCCAAGTTCAAGATGTTGTAACCGTGGCGACTCCCAAATTGTACAAGGCAAATGGAGAGTGGGTGCTCCAGGTTGGGATTCTTTACTTGAAACAACAAGTGTCTGCAAGTCTCTATTGGTTGACACTACACAATCAAGACCCTCAAACCATTCTGTTACAAATAGATATCTCAAAAACATTAAATCCTTTAAGTGTGTTGGCACTCTTTGAAGAAATGAAGATGGAACAAAAGCCAAAACTCTTAGCAACTTGAACGGCACCGATATTTCAACATCTTCTTGAAAGAAGAAAATGGAGCGAGGGTTGTTTGTTCTAAACAACACATAATAGTCAAAACTATGTGTGTAGAAACTTAACCAGCGGCATGAATTTGCAAACATGCTAAATGCCCCTCGTGGAAGTTGTTAAGTATTTAAAGCACAAAAAAAGCTCTCTTTCTGAGCTTCCATTACGCAAAAGAACCCATCTCTGATCTCTCTCTCTCTCAATTATTCAGATCCCAATCAATGAGTGGAAGTGCCAATAAGTCAACAACCCTCCAAACATTGCATAATTATATGCTGGAAGAAATGTTTACAGCAGGGTAAAAATAAAAGCACACCGAGTATCATTTCATATATGTAGAGAGAGAGAAAGTTTCTGCCTCCTATTTTTTTTTTTGGTGAGGCTTTCTGCCTCCTATTAGAATCACCTTCACAGTCAAAACTGTGGACAAATTTATATTGTGCATCTAGTCTAGTAAATATAATGGTTAAAAATAAAGAAAAATAAAAATATATATAAAAAATGGGATCAATTTTAAATATAGTATTTGTCTATACATACTTTTCAATTTTCATGACCTCACATTTGGGAGGATCACAGAGGTACCATTGAACTATAAATTACTAAGCAGTTTCATAAATATTATAAACTCAAAATTTCTCTCGCCTTATTATAAAAAATGGGATCAATTTTAAATATATTTTTTTTTAAACAAATATATTACTCTTTGACTTTTTCTCTCACCGTATTCGCGAGCGTTTTCTAGGGTTTCTGCAAGTTTACCGCCGTGCGACCGACGTCGACGACAAACTCCATTGCTAGTATCGACTATGCAGATGGATGCTCAGGAGGTTACTGATCAGTGTGCAAGCCTGACGTTAGCAGATGTGGATGATGAAGAGGTCGCGGTACAGGTCCCTTTTGAGCCGGGAGAGCGTGAGGAGGAGGAGGAGATGTTCCATGCGGTTGGAAGGCTGTTAACGAATCGATCGGTCCGTTTTGCATATTTTCAGGACACCATGGCAGGAGTGTGGTAGGCGGCCATGGGAGTGAATATGCGAGAGCTTCAGCCTCGGAGGTTTCTCTTTCATTTTTACCACGAAGCTGATCTCCAACGTATTCTTTCCGACGGACCTTGGGCGTATGAACAAAGCTTGTTAATTATGAAGAAGCTAGAACCTGGGGAGGATCCGGAAATAGTGCCGTTGGATTTTGCGGACTTTTGGGTTCAGATACATGCTCTGTCGGTCGGTTTTCGCTCGGAGTCGGTGATCAAGGTTGTGGGTTCGTTTCTAGGAGCTGTAGTACAGTCTGATGAGAGGAATTTCGATGGCTCCATGAGGGTGTTTTATCGTGTTCAGGTGTCTCTGGATATTACCAAACCACTCAAGAAACAAATGAAGCTCAAGAAGGGTGTTGGGAGTTGGTCTGTCATAGATTTTCGGTATGAACGGTTGCCGACCTTCTGTTTCTTATGTGGGTTGATAGGGCATGGGGATAGACATTGCAAGCTCGCATTGCAGCGCACTGATCCTAAGGCGGAGAAGCCGTACGGAGCCTAGTTACGTGCTATTACTCGCCGGGGACTGCCAGCGACGAACCAAGGCTGGATTCCCCCTGAAACTGCTGCCGAGCGGAAGCTTTGGAGGTCACCTGCTATGGGTTTTGTTGAGGAATTTCGTAATAGTGAGGGGAGGGAGAAGGGCAGTGTGGTTGGGACTGATTTGGGTAAGGGGGGTACGGGCAGTGTTGTTGGGGAAGTGCATGGGGGAGTTGGCAGTGTTGTGGGGGGAATGAATGGGGGTGTGGGCAGTGTTGTTCGTGGGGTTGTTATTGGGGAGCAAAAAAGAAGGAGGGTGGAGGAGGGGGATGCCGAGGGGGGTGAGGGTGGTGAGGGTGGTGGTGCGATGGATTGTGGAGCAATGGTGTCAAAAAACGGATTGGGGGCGGGACTTGCGGAGCAAGCCCGCCGGGAATTATGAGTCTCATCTCCTGGAATTGTCGGGGGCTTGGCAACCTGACGGCAGTTCGTGTTTTAGCGGACCTAGTTCGCACAAAGAGGCCGATTGTGGTGTATTTGATTGAGACTTTCGTGGGTAAGCAACGTATGGAGGACATCCGTGTGCAGTTGGGTTTCGATTGTGTTTTTACGGTGGAGGCGGATGGGCATAGCGGTGGCTTAACTCTGTTGTGGATGAATAGTGTGGACTTGAGGGTTTCGGGTTATTCTGCGAATCATATTGATTGTGACCTGCAGTTGGATGTTGGAAGCCCATCCTGGCGTTTTACTGGTTTTTATGGGTACCCGGAGAGGCACCGAAGGCGGGAGACATGGCAGTTGTTGCGCACCTTGTCGTCTCAGTCTTCTCTTCCATGGCTGCTGATGGGGGATTTTAACGAGCTACTAGATCAGGCGGAGAAGGTGGGTCGGGTCCCACATCCGCAATGGTTAATTAATGGTTTTAGGGCGGCTATTGCTGACTGTGGTTTGCAGGATGTCCCTTTTGAGGGGCCCTAGTTCACTTGGGTGAAGTCGCGAGGAACGGGTCATATGATTGAGGAAAAATTGGATCGTATTCTGGCATGCGACGATTGGTTGAATTTGTTTCAGGGAGCTCAGGCGCATTCACTGGTTGTTCCATATAGTGATCATTTGCCCCTAATTTTAACTCCGGTTTCACTCCCTCGGGTTCAGAAGCGAGCCAAGTTTTGTTTTGATAATGTGGCTGCGGGAGGAAACGTGCAGGGAAATTGTTTCCTACAGCTGGGACAGAACGGTAGGCCAAAGCACGTTGGCAAGGGTGGAGGCGTGTGCTCATGACATATGGAGGTGGGGGCGGAATTATAACAGGGAGTTCCAGAGAAAGATTGAGTATAATAAGCGTCGTTTAGCTTGGCTAAGAGGGCGTCGTGATGTGCCAAGTATGCGTGAGTATGATGAGGTAGAAAGGGAGTTGCTTTATTTATTGGAGCAACAACATTATTTTTGGAAACAACGGGCCAAGGAGTTCTGGTATCAAGGTGGGGACGTGAATAGCAAGTTTTTTCACAATTCTGTGAAAACTAGACGTCGTAAGAACACTATTAGAAGGCTCCGGGATGAGAACGGAACTTGGGTAGAGGATGAGGAGGGGTTGGACAATGTTATGCTGAATTATTATAATGGTCTTTTCACCCCGGACTATGGTGAGATGGAGGAGGTAATTGATGCTATATCAGGGAAGGTGACTGAGCATGATAATGCAATGTTATTGCGCCCACTGAGTATGGAGGAGGTTAGGGAAGCGGTGTTTCAGATGCATCCTGACAAGTCCCCGGGTCCTGATGGTTTTGGGCCGGGGTTTTTTCAGTTTTTCTGGGACATTGTGGGGGGGGGGGGGGGGGTTACAGCTTCTGCAGGGGCTTCTTGGATTCGGCTAAGCTCCCGGGTGGGGCTAATGATACCCTTGTTGTTCTGATTCCGAAGAAGGCTAGGCCGGAGTCTATGAAGGATCTGCGCCCGATAGCATTGTGTAATGTCATCTATAAGATTGTGGCTAAGGTGTGTCCTAATCGTTTAAAGCCTTTGTTGCAGAAGCTGATTTCGAATGCGCAGAGTGCCTTTGTTCTGGGCCGCCTAATTACTGATAATATCATGTTTGCCTACGAGGTTCACCATTACTTGAAACGGAAGACCCAGGGCCGTGAGGGGGTGGTGGCTTTGAAACTTGACATGTCCAAAGCCTATGATCGGGTGGAGTGGGAGTTTCTTCGGGCAGTGATGCTTAAGTTGGGGTTTGGTGATCGATGGGTCAATATTCTGCTTGAAACAGTAACTTCTGTACGGTATCATATCTTACATGACCAGTGGCGATTGGGACCGATTATAACTGGTAGGGGTCTTCGTCAGGGGGACCCGTTGTCCCCATATTTATTCCTCTTTGTCGCAGAAGGGTTGAGTTCCATGATTGAAAGAAGTATGGCTGCGGGCCGATTGCATGGTGTTTCGTTTGCGAGGGGTGCGCCTTCTGTCTCTCTCTTCTTTTTGCAGATGACTCCTTCATGTTCCTTCGGGCTAACGAGGAAGAAAGCGTTCAAATGAGGTATGTGCTGGACACTTATGCTAGGGCTTCTGGCCAGCATGTTAATTATGATAAATCTGCTGCATGTTTTAGTGCTAATGTGCCACAGAATATAAGGAATGAAGTGGTTGATGTTCTGGGCGTGGAGGAGGGAGAGACTAGTGGGAAGTACTTGGATTTTCCTTCTCTAGTGGGAAGGAGGAAGAAAGTCATTCTGGGGTTTCTGAAGGATCGTATACTAACCAGGGTTCGTTCTTGGAATGCCAAGTACCTGTCAAGAGCTGGGAGGGAGGTTCTATTGAAAAATGTTTTGCAGGCAATGCTATCATATGCTATGATGGTGTTTCTACTCCCCTTGGGCCTTTGCCGGGAAATTGAGGTAGTATTGAATCAGTACTGGTGGTCTGGTGATGTGAGTAATGGCCGTGGAATACGATGGCGTTCTTGGGAGGGTTTGACGAGGCCAAAAGCGTGTGGTGGAATGGGGTTTAGACGCCTTCATGAGATGAATAAAGCTCTTCTGGGAAAGCAGGCTTGGAGGTTGATTTCCGACCCCACGAGTTTAGTGACACGTGTGTTTAAATCACGATATTACCCTGACTGTGACTTTTTTTATGCCAGGGAGGGGAGCAATCCGTCCTACATTTGGCGGGGTATGTTAGCAGTTAAAGAGTGCTTGAAGGAGGGGTGTAGAAGGGTGATTGGCGATGGTAATGGGACTATAATTGGCAGGGATCCTTGGCTACCAGTGGATGATAATCCTTTTGTAGAAACGGAGTTGCATCAGACAGTTTATCAGGCCCCGGTGTCCTCCTTAATAAATTTACATGGTAATGGTTGGGATGTGGAGTGTGTTAAGGATATATTTAATACCCGTGATGCTAATTTGATTTTGAATATTCCTGTCAGTTTTCGAAAGCCTTGTGATCGGTGGTTTTGGCATTGGGAGCAAAAAGGTGCGTATTCGGTTAAATCTTGTTATAAGCAGCTTACTTTGGTGCCTGCAAGTGATCGCCCTTGGGCAAGTATTTGGAGTTTGCATGTCCCTCCAAAGGTGAAGAGTTTTTGTTGGCAGTTAGCATCCCACTTCCTTCCAACACGTGATATTTTAT